TAGGGGTCCACTCTGAGGATCCAGAATGTGATCAAAGCTCTAGCTAAGAGAATGCTCACCAGGACACTGCTTAGGCCTGGATGTCAGCGGGAGTAGCCCTCCCTTTCCTGAGACAGATGGCTGGCTGGGACACCAACCCACCTGCAATGCCACAACCTATAGAAGGCTATGGCCTCCCCTGGGAGCTCTGCGATTCCTGGGGAGGAGGTGGGCAGGTGCTCCTCTAGCTGAGTGCTCCTGCTGTCCTGCCTCGGCCTCCAGAGTAGCTGAGATGACAGGGGAGGGGTGTGCCAGCACCTGGATATTCTTGAATTTTTAGTAGAGATGCGGTTTCACCATGTTGGCCAAGGTGGTCTCGAACTCCTGACCTCAAGTGATCCACTTGTCTCAGCCTCCCAAAGTGCTGGGATTACAGGTGTGAGCCACCGCGCCCAGCCCAACCCATTGTTAAATTATGCGCAAAAACATCATTCACAATAAGCATTTGGGAGCACAAAAGCAGACGTTAAACAGCATTTTCTCCTCTTCTCCCTCTTCTCCTCCTCTCCTCTGCTTTCTTCTCTCCACTTTTTTGTTTCTTGCCATCCCCTCTGACTGGTTCCCTCTTCCTCCAGACCTCATGGTCCATGGTTCCCTGCCATGCTCTCTTTAAGTTCTCTCTCAAACGTTCCAATACCCCTATGAGAAGGCCACGCCCACCTCTCTACCCAGCATGCTCCGCCCTTGCCTGCCTTGCCTTCTTCCCTGCAGTCATCCCCGCCTGACCTCGGATGACATGCATATCTTTACATACATGTTCGTCTGTTTCTACTGCCACACCAGCTCCGCAAGGCAGGGGCTTGGTTGTGTTCCCAGCTGCAGCCCAGTGCCTAGCGCAGGGCCTGGCATGGTGTGGAAGCTCCGCAGAGAAGCGGAATGCATTCACAGCGGCAGGTGTGGAGCCAGAGCCGGCATCTGCGGTGCTGGTACCCACCTCACATGGAGCAGAGCGCATTCCTGGACTTACCAAAAATGCCCTTCTGCCATCCGAACCCCAAGAAGTTTTTGGGAGTCATCTCCCTGCGTGGCTAGCCTCCCTCTGCTTTTTCTCCTTCCTCTCTTCTCTGCTCTCTCTACTCCCTTTCCTTTCAGGAGCAAATAGAGTACCTCCATCCCACACACAGACGCCCTGCAAAGCACTCTGTTTCCACCGTCTATGTGCTGGTCCCTGTTGGCCATTTTGCACACAGGTCCAGACACCCCAAATCCTATGGAGGTATTTTTTCAAACATATTCCTTTCTTCTGCCATTCTGGTGAGAGTTACTGGAAGAATTAAAATGTCATGTCTTGGCTTTTTTTTTTTCTTTTTACAAAAAGACAGGGAAAACATATTCCATGTATAATACAAGAAAATGAAACCCAATAAAAATGTCTAACAATGACAAAAACGCTTCAGACATTCTATGGGCAACTATGCCACCATTTTAAATGACAGTATAACCATATTAAAGACAAAGGACACAGTCCCTTAATATGAAAAGTGCTTTTGCAACTCAACAGGAAAAAGACCAAAAGCCAGTGAAAAAGTGGACAAAGGCTATGAGCTGGCAGTTTATGGAAAAGGAGCTATAGGTGACTCAAACATTTGAAAAGATGTTCAAATTCATTCATAATGAGACATAGGCCAGGCGTGATAGTTCACACCTGTAATCCCACAACTTGGTGAGACCAAGGTGGGCAAATTGCATCCCCTGAGGTCAGGAGTTCGAGACCAGCCTGACCAACCTGGAGAAACCCCATCTCTACTAAAAATACAAAATTAGCCAGGCGTGGTAGCGCAATGCCTATAATCCCAGCTACTCCAGAGACTGAGGCAGGAGAATCACTTGAATCTGGGAGGCAGAGGTTGCAGTGAGCTGAGATCATGCCACTGCACAACAGCCTGGGCAACAGAGTGAGAGTCTCTCTCACTAAAAAAAAAAAAAAAAAAAAAAAAAAATCGGGCAACACTTCTGGCTCCCATCCTTAGATTGCCTCCAAAGTTTTATAGTGTTTGCATTTGCATTAGTTTGCCTGATCCTTACTCCAACTTTGTTTTGTATGGAAAACAGAGTGGAGACACTGGGATGTTGTATTCATTTCCTAGTGTTGTGACGGTACTGCTTTATCTGCTGTCACAAAGTGCCACAAGCTGGGTACATTAAAACAACAGATATTTATTATCTTGCCTTTCCAGAGGTCGAAGTCTGAGATCAGGGTGTGGACAAGGCCAGGCTCCCTCTGAGGGTTGGAAGAGAGGATCCTTCCTTGCCTCTCCTGGCTCCTGCTGGTTGCAGGCAATTCTAGGTGTCCTTTGGCTCCTACATGCATCACTGCACTCTCTTCCTTCACAGTCTGTGACTGTCTTCTCCCCGAGGGTCTCTGTCTTCATGTGCCCATCTCCTTTAAGGACACCAGTCCTGTCGGATTCAGGGCCCATCCTACTCCAGTATGACCTCATCTTCACCAGTTATATCTGCAACAGCCTTATTTCCAAATAAGGTCACATTAGGAGGTTCTGGGGGTTAGGACTTCAACATATCTTTTGTGGGGAGGCACAATTCAACTCATAACAAATGTGAAAAGACATGCTAAGAAGTTATGACCGGGTGTGGTGGCTCATACCCATAATCCAAAACTTTGGGAGGCCGAGGCAGACTAATCACTTGAGGTTAGGAGTTCGAGACCTCATCTCTATTTTTTTTAAAAAAAGGAGGCTGGGCAAGGTGGCTCACGCCTGTAATCCCAGCAATTTGGGAGGCTGACGCGGGCAGATCATTTGAGATTGGGAGTTTGAGACCAGCCTGGCCAACATAGTGAAACCCCATCTCTACTAAAATTACAAAAATTAGCTGCCTGTGGTAGCAGGTGCCTGTAATTCCAGCTACTCTGGAGACTGAGGCAGGAGAATCACTCGAACCCAGGAGGTGGAGGTTGCAGTGAGCTGAGATCACACCACTTCACTCCAGCCTGGGCAACAGATTGAGATGCTGTCTCAAAATAATAATAAGAAGAAGAAAAGAATAAAGAACAACATCAGCAAATGAAGTTTTGCTGAATTTTCCTCAGAGGGGAAGAGGCTATGGGTTTTGGGGTCTGAGGAGGCTGACCCAGCCCTGCAGACACCAGGACAGCTCTTATCTGATTCAGGAATAAAGCACAAACCTCAACATATTGTGAAACTCTTCCAAGAACTTTCCCCTCTGTTTGTCTGTATTCTTAAAGGATCCACTGCCCCTCATACTTGCACAGCACTTTAAGGTTGATCAAGGCACTGGGTGGCCAGGCATTATCTCATTCAATCCACGAAACACACTTTGTAGGATAAATCTGCCTATGTTCATTTTACAGATGAAAAGCCAAGTTTTCGAGAAATGGAATGGTCAGTTCATGCATGGTCAGCCAGCAAATACCAGGTGCTGAGAGCCCCAGTCTGTCTGCCGTTCATGCCAGGTGTAGGTCCACCTGGCACTGTGCTTCTGGAGACAAAGCAGATGGACATGATAGATGGCCATTCTGGGCTATGGGTCGGTAAGGTTTGCAGAAAGCACACTCAAAGGGAGTTTAAATACATCTGAAAATCATCAGACACATCTAGCGACATCTGAAAAGCCCATTGCTTTTCAAGGTTTATTTCTCTCTTAGAGAAAAGGAAAGTGATTTGGAGGGACCATGAGGCTCCAGGAGCTGCCCCCGGTCCTCCCTGCCTCCTACCATGCCTGGGTTTTAGCGGTTGGAAACCGCAAGTTTTCAAACTGCTTTTTATGTCTGTAGGAACTTCAACCTTTTAAAAAAGGAAATATAAGAACCTCAACTTATAAAAGGGATGCAAATGCCAATGAAAGTAGGAGCGTCTTCCGATCCTCCCCGAATGACCATGCCAGCCAACTCCAGGTCGTAGCTCTCTGGGTGAGAAAAGCAGCTGAAAACCACATGGGAATACAAAAAGCAAGTGACTAAACGACACCCACATATTCACCTATTACTTATGAGGTTCAATGTTCCTTAGAAATGATCTGGAGATTTGACATTAAGGAATAACTATTTAAATGTTTGTAGTATGCTGATGATATGGTCGTTTTGTTTTTAAAAGATGCCTGATTGCCATTGGGTTGGGGTCTCCACGGGCGAGCTGGTCTCAACAGTTATCTTTTAGTACATTCTGAAACACCTCAGTGGAGGTGCTACGCTGTCTGCCATTTGTTTCAAAATAACCAGTGGTGGAGATTGGGGTGGTGACTGTCCAAGCTGGTGACCTTGGGGTGGTGACTGTCCAAGCTGAGCGTGCTTATGTGGGGCTTCATTATATGAAAACCCACAGGTGAGGGTGCTTATGTGGGGCTTCATTACATGAAAACCCACAGGTGAGCGTGCTTATGTGGGGCTTCATTACATGAAAACCCACAGGTGAGCGTGCTTATGTGGGGCTTCATTATATGAAAACCCACAGGTGAGCGTGCTTATGTGGGGCTTCATTACATGAAAACCCACAGGTGCACAAGGCTCAACCTAATTCTGTTCCTTCTACTTTAGGATATGTTTGCAATTTTCCAAATAAAAAATTGTTTAGGCTAAAAAGTCTGAATTGTGTATAATGACCAGTGTGACTTCTGTAATTCTTTTAAAATCAATGAAAAGTTGCAAAGAAAAAGACACAGAGAGAGAGGGTTGGCTCCGGCAGGTGACAGGAGCCGCGCGGGGAGGGGAGCAGAGCCGCTGACCAAGTCCTGCCATCCAGGCGACCCCCATCTGCCGTCCTCTGAGGACCAGCAACTCTACCTCCAAACTCCCTGGGCCGAAGGCTACGCGCGCTCCCCGGCCACTGGCGCCCGGTCCGCTCACCCGGCCATCCGTCGGCCACCCACCCGGCCACCAGCACTTCCCGCTCCAGGGCCTCTGGCATCCCCTCCACCCCTCTCCGTGCAGAATTTGAAACCCGAACCACCCCCTTCTGCAGTCCCGCAGTGCGCGGGGCACTCACCCTCAGCGTTCCCGGCTCCTTCGCGATCTGTGCGAAACTGAAAGTACAAGCCGCCGAGAGCTGCCGGGCCTGTGCTTGGAACTAGCTGCTTTGCTGAGAAATCACGTGGATTCGAAGTGCCAGCGCGAACCAGATGGGCCTGTGGGCGCGGGAGGGCGGGGACCTAACACACACGCTCCCCGCTGCGACCACACCCCGGGACCTCCCCGAAGTCCCTCATCGGACCCATGGACAGTCCCAGGAGACTTGGGGGCGCTTGCCCGTTTTGTGGACAGGAAATTGAGGCAGGCGCGTGAAGGCGGGCTCATGTGCGGAGCGCGGGTGGGTGGGGACCCTGGACTGAGACCCTGTCTCAGTGTCTCAGTGGAGACTGGGTTGGATGGGAGGGGGATGCGGTGCGGGAGCAGGGGACTTAGAACTAGGGGCAGAGCGAAGAGCGCTCCAGATGAACCAGGAGAAGGGAGTGACAGCAGCGTTGGTTCCCATTAGCAGAGCCCTTGGCGGGCTGACCCAGGAAAGGCAGTCTACCAGTTTATCTCATTAAGTAACCCTAAAATACTCATGCAGGTATCACCCTGTTTTCCAAGTGAGCAACTGAGGCTCAGGGAGGACAGAGGTGAAGGAATTTGCCCCAGTCACAGGAGGAATCAGAGGCAGAAGAGGGCGACGGAAGGAGGGAGATGGGAGAGCAGGGAAGGAGAGGAGGGACTGGTGGGGGCAGAAGGAAGGGGAGGTGGCTCTCCCAGGATGGGGTCAGGGCCGTCCTCAAAGTCCAGCTTCAGCTTCTCCAGGTTTTTGCCCACAGCCTGGGACAAGGAGCTCCCCTTGCTGGACGTATTCATCCTGTGGGCAGCAGCGCCTGCTAGGAAGGCCTTCCACCCACCTCTCAGTGACATCCCACAGCAAAGCAGCGTTCACTCCCAGACCACTGGTGCTTCCCTGCCTCCCAGGCCTGAGGTGGTGTGGGCGTGAGGATGCTGCAAGGCAGTGGTCAGGAGACAAGCATCAGCATTAGACATCCTGGGTTCAATTCCTACCCTCCACCTTACCCGTGTTAGATAGACCCAATGCCTTGACTCCGCCGTTCATCCTGGAGCCTGCTTCCGGGCCAGGAGTGGGGACTCTTGTTTTGTTTTGTTTTGTTTGAGATGAAGTTTCACTCTTTTCCCCAGGCTGGAGTGTAGTGGTGGGATCTCCGCTCACTGAACTTCCGCCTTCCGGTTTCAAGTGATTCTCGTGTTCAGCCTCCCAAGTAGCTGGGATGACAGGCACCTGCCACCACTCCCGGCTAATTTTGTATTTTTAGTAGAGGCAGGGTTTCACCGTGTTGGCCAGGTGGTCTCAAACTCCTGACCTCCTGATCCACTTGTCTCCGCCTTCCAAAGTACTGGGATTACAGGTGTGAGTCCCCGTACCTGGCGGGATTTCCGGGTTCTAAGTTCCCTCCTGCACAGCATCCCCCATCCCCTCCAACCCAGTCTCCACTTGGGGAAGGGGTGGGGGGGAGTCAGCCCAGGGTCCCCGTCTACCCAAGCTGGGCAGGTGAGCTGAACTTCACTGCCTACCTCAGTTTCCCGTCCACAAAAAAGGGCAAGATCCCTAGTGTCTCCTGAGATTGCCCCTGGGTCTGTGTGCAAGGGCTGAGGGAGGCACCAGGATTCGGGCTCTACTGGGCATGGATGTGCCAGGCCCCCACCCATCCTGCACCCACATCCCCATCTGGGTCCAGGCTGGCATCCCAGTTTTGCCAAGATGGGGATGATGTTAATACTAACTCCACGTAGAGTGGTTGTGATCATTTGATGACTTAACGTTGAGGCTGATGCAATCTGTACCTGAAGCCCATAAGCTGCCCTTATTTTTTTGTCCCCTTCTACAGGCCCCACATCCTCATGAGACTTAAACTGCCTTCCTCCTAGGACCAGCTCAGATATCTACAAATTGCATAACAGTGGAGTGAGAAGGGCACAGACTTTGCAGTGATTGCTTCTGTGTGACTCCCAGCTTCACCGCTCCTGGTTGTGTAACCTCAGACAAATGCCTTGACCTCCCCTGGCCTCAGCTTCCTCATCTGTCAAGCGGGGTGTTCCCAGCCTCCCCAGGCCACTGGTGGGTGTGATGAGAATGGGTGAGAATGTGGGTGTGAGCTGTATGCTTGGGAGGGATTGATTATGTTCCAGTGTCAGGACTCAGCTCATGTTCACTGACCACCAATGAAATGATTGGTCCTACACGAAGTCCCAGGAAAGACACTGGCCTGCTCCCTGTGCTGAGGGAGTGGATGTGCCAGGACAGACAGACACATGGACAAATAACCACAATCCAAGACACAAATGCAGATCATTTTCAGATGCATTTCATTCTGAACACCCCCTTGAGGAGGGCAGGACAAAGATTATTATCCCATTAGGCAGATGAAGAAGCTGAGGTCCAGATAGATCAAGTCAGTTGCTGAAGGTCACACATCAATCACGGGGAGAGCTGGGTCTTGAACCTGGAGCCCTTTTCACTCTGGGGGTACCAGGCCTGCTGGAAAGTTTATTGCCAAAGGATTCTGGAAGGGCGACCTCCCCAAACTTTCCCTGTCCTCAGGCTGGCTTGTGGCCTGAGAGTCCGCTATTAGCACAATCATACCTGTGGCTAAAAATGTGCCAGCCCCCTCCCTCCCAGTGTCAATCAAATGGCTGTCAGTCATTTACACTTGAGTGTGAAGAAGCGAATCAGATTTTATGGGTTGGAGATGAGAAGGAATTTGAGTGTTTGGACTTTTGGGTGGGAAACTGGAGATGTGAGAACGGTTGACACCAGAGAGAACTCAAGAGGTGGGTGGGGAGGGAGTTAACTGGAGGATGGAGAGAGCCCGCATGACCTGGCCACCCCTGTGTACCTCACCTCCATTATGTATAACCAATATCTGGCATTTGTGGAGCAATTAGGATGTACCAGACACTGGGCCAGGCACTGTGCTTTTTTTTTTTTATTATTATTTTTTGAGACGGAGTCTCACTCTGTCGCCCGGGGTGTAGTGCAGTGATAAGATCTCAGCTCGCTCACTGCAACCTCTGCCTCTCGGGTTCAAGCAATTCTCCTGCCTCAACCTCCCGAGCAGCTGGGGCTATAGGTGCATGCCACACACCTGGCTAATTTTATTTTTATTTTTATTTTAGTAGAGACGGGGTTTTATCATGGTCTCAAACTCCTGAGCTCAGGCAATCCACCTGCCTCCGACTCCCAAAGTGCTAGGATTACAGGCGTGAGCCACCGTGCCCGTCCGCTGTCTCCTTTAATCTTTTTGTTTGTTTGTTTATTTTTGAGACAAAGTCTCACTCTGTCACCCAGGCTGGAGTGCAGTGGCACAATATCAGCTCACTGCAACCTCCACTTCCCAGGTTCAAGCAATTCTCCCGCCTCAGCCTCCAGAGTAGCTGGGACTACAGGTGTGCACCATCACGTTTAGCTAATTTTTTTGTATTTTTAGTAGAGACAGGGTCTCACCATGTTGGCCAGGCTGCTCTTGAACTCCTGAGATCCCCCTGCCTCAGCCTCCCAAAGTGCTGGGATTACAGGCGTAAGCCACCGTGCTCAGCCTCTCCTTTAATCTTTACAGCAACTGTTATCTTTCTTTTTACAGGTGAGAAAAGGGAGGCACAGAGAGGCTAAATAACACACCTGAGCTCACACAGAGGCAGAGGAGCTGAGCTGTGGACCCAGGCAGGCCATCTCTGCAGCCTCCGCTCTTGACCACCATGGGCTCCTCCTCTTGCCAGGATCCTACATGGAAGGTATTACCATACCATTGAACAAAAGAGGACATGAAGGCACGGAGGGCAGAGGGGCCCCAGGATGGCAGAATTAGTAACTGGGGTGAGAGGGAGCTGGGATTAGACCCAGGTCTGAAAGCCAGGCCTTCCCTTCACCCTTCCTGTTTGCCAAGCACCTGGGCCCCATCCTGCCCCAGGCCAGCAGCCGGAGCGGCAGGATGTGCTTCTGCCTGGCGCTGGCCTTGGGGAGCACTTGTTTTTCCCTGAAGGAAGCAGCAGGTGTGGCCATCTTTTTGGAACCGGCCCTTCCTGGGTCGGAGCCAGGACTGCTGCCCGCCTCCCCCTCCCCATGCGCCCGTCAATCCTGCATGGAGGCCAGGAGGACTTAAGTAGGACTAGGTCAGATCTAGGCTTGCATGGAGGGGCTGGAATTTGGGAGAGGGGCTTGGAGGTCAGTCCCATTTTTGTAAGCCTCTCGCCCTCTGGACTCCATAACTCCTGCTAATCGCACTCCTTGGATGGGACAGTGACATGGAAGTACCTCCCAGCTCAGTCTTGGGGAGACCTCTTCAAGGACGGCGAGGGAAGCTGGGGGGATGCCCCTACCCTCCTTTCTGGAGCAGAGCCCTGGGGTCTCTGGAGTCCAAGCTAGGCTGGGGTTTACAAGGGGTAAGACTCAAAATGACTTCTCTGTCTGCCCCTTGTGCTAAGTTTCCATTCAAGAAAGAGCTGCCTAGGGATGCCAGGTTATCCGGAATCTGTCATTGTAGCATCAACAGGGGTGTGTGTGGGGGTGTGTGTGTGGGGGGGTCTTGGGACTTCCCACCCCCTTCGAGGGAGCATTCTTGGGTGGGATGCGGCTTCTAACTGGTGTCACCACCTCAAAGGCCAATATCCCATGACCTAGAATTTCCACGTTGGGCTCGGGGACTGGCGAGACCACCTTGACTCCTTCTGCCAAGGCCCTTTGAGAGCTGCCCGCTCCATCCTTTAGTGCTCCTGCTTAGTAAATCAGACTCTTGCATTACGCCCCAGGGTGGGGCCAGGGTTTGGGGGAAAAGCAGGCCTCAGAGAGCTCTTGCAGGGACAGAGAAGGGCTTGGAAGAAACCAGACTCAGAATATGGGGCCCTCCCCTCGCAGCTTCCCAGACTTGAAGGGGCGGCTTACTTTGGAGCTCCCTGCAGCCCCAGCCTCCTGGCCGTCTCTCCTGGCTGCTGAAATAAAGGCCGGGCCCTTTTGCCACCTTGTGATGTGACCCTGCCTGTTGGTTGGGCCTCACATCTGGTCCCTAGTTGTTTGCTTTCATTGCCACACCAGCCCTCTTGGCTGTTCTTGAATCCATCATGATTCTTTCTACACCAGGGACCTTGCATGAGCCAGTGTCTTGCTGCGCTTCCTCTCATCTCACTGGGCTAATCTGAGGCATTTTCTTTACACACCTGGAAAAAATAGAGCCTGGTGCCTTCTAAGACTAGGATGGTTGGAAGAAAGTTTTTGTGTTGTAGACTGAGGATAGGAAGAAGACACAATTTAAGCATAAGAAGGCGAGGTGGAGGCTAGGCGCGATGGCTCACACCTATAATCCCAGCACTTTGGGAGGCTGAGGCGGGTGGATCACTGGAGGTCAGGAGTTCGAGACCAGCCTGGCCAACATGGTGAAACCCATCTCTACTAAACATACAAAAATTAGCCGGGTGTAGTGGCAGGTGCCTGTAGTGCCAGCTCATTGAGGGGCAGAGGCAGGAGAATTGCTTGAACCCGGGAGGTGGAGGTTGCAGTAAGCCGGGATTGCGCCGCTGCACTCCAGCCTGGGTCACAGAGTGAGATTCTGTGAAGAAGAAGGAGAAGGAGAAGAAGAGGAGGAGGAGGAGCTGGAAATAGACTCATGAGAGGTTTCTCTTCTGGAATAAAGGGTTTGCCTTTTTAGAGGCTCTATCTTCCTCCCTTTCTACCAGAAACCAGACCTCTGAGGGCCCCTTCCCCTCCCACTGTCTCAGATCTGAAGCCCCGGTTCCCCCTCACTTCCTGTCCAGCACTGAAACCCCACGGGACAGAGAGTGTGTGACAGCTCATGCAGGAAGTTGATCAGACGAGAAGAGTGCTGGGCTAAAGGGGATAAATTTGGAAGGTATCCAGGGACCCGATCAGGCAGGACCTTGAGTCCCAAGTAGAGAGGTTTGAATTTCTTCCTCCAGGCACTGTGGAGCTTGGAGGGTTTGGGGGCAGCTGCCTTGGAAGGGCTGAAAGGAGGTGGATGGCGCTGGCGAGACACAGCTCTTCCCCCTCCCTCCACCCCCCAGCCAGAGAAGGACTCTCCAGCTCTTGGACACAGCATTTTAATGCCAGTGGGTCTTTAGGACAGGCAGGGGGTGGGAGCCAATGTCTATCTCCGTGCTCCCACCCTGACCCACCGTGATGGAGGAGATGCCAGGGCTCCAGCTGCGAGCCTGGTGCTTGCCTTCTGGTTCAAGCCTCACCCCCACCTCCTTGGAACTTCTAGCTCAAGCTCTGGAGGAAATCCACCAGCAGGTGCTCAGGGAAGCCGAAATCCATCTGCAGCAGCAGGAAGCCCTGGAGGGAGAGGCCAGAGGAGAGAGGGGCAGGCTGGGCTGACTCCCAGGCCGCCAGGAGGGAGCCAAGCTAATGGGGACCCCTCTGCCTGTCTCCCCAGTAGGCCCCAGTCACCCCGGAAATCTTGTCTGGGCCTCCCTCCCCAGGGAGGGAGGTGAGGGAGGGCTGGTGAGGGGGGTTTATACTCACATCCTGAGGGATAATCTCAGGGTTGATGATGTCGAAGAGGCTCAGGCCTTTGCTGTTCATAAGGGTCGTAAACGCTGCCTCGAGCCCTGGGACAGGGGACAGAGCCCCCCAGTCAGCCCTTCTTGGGGAGCAGGGCAGGCCTGAGGCTCTGCCACCCTGGACAGTGGCAGATGCCGAGACCTCTTTGGACCTACATTCTGTAAACATGTTTTTTCACTTTGATTTAGAAGAGTGGGCCGGGCGCGGTGGCTCAAGCCTGTAATCCCAGCACTTTGGGAGGCCGAGGCGGGTGGATCACGAGGTCAAGAGATCAAGACCATCCTGGTCAACATGGTGAAACCCCGTCTCTACTAAAAATACAAAAAATTAGCTGGGCATGGTGGCGCGTGCCTGTAATCTACTCAGGAGGCTGAGGCAGGAGAATTGCCTGAACCCAGGAGGCGGAGGTTGCGGTGAGCCGAGATCGCGCCATTGCACTCCAGCCTGGGTAACAAGAGCGAAACTCCATCTCAAAAAAAAAAAAAAAAAAAAAAAAAAAAAAAAAAGAAGAGTGGGCCAGTGCTTCTGAGGATGGGGAAGAGCAGTTTGCCTGCTGGTAGCGCTTGCCACTCTGCTGCCCAAAGAAATTCCACTCTGTCCCAAACTTGAGGCTCCCAACCCACCCACAATGGCTGCATGACCTGCAGTTAGCTTAATCTACCCTGCTAGGAAGGAACCTTCCCCACACAGCTTCTCAAAGCATTCTTTGCAACCACACAGAGTGGCCTCCTTGCAAGTAGCTGTAGGGATGGCTTAATCCACTCCCCTCTAGTTTTAGCTCCATGGTTCAGATGGGGAATATGAGGCCAAGAGATGCCAAAACACCCCGCCAGGATAATTCCATTTGCCATGCCCTTCTTCCTACCTAAGCCACGTGGACAAGCAGATATTCTAAAGGAAGGCACAGTCAGCTCAACATACTCTGTGGGGAAGGCGGCAGAAAGCTCTCAGCAGAGCCTCGTCCACATGTCCACACCCCAGCACACGTGTGCCATGATGTCTGAGAGTCTACCACTTGAGTCACCTCAAAGGGACAAAAATTCTACCGTTTCAAGGTCAAAAGGAAAATTCAGAACCATCAAGTTCAACACTCCCATTTTACAGAAAGGGAAACTGAGGTTCAGGGCTGGGCTAGAACTAGGTCTCAGCCTCCCAGCCCAGGGCTCTTTCTGCCATCTCAGGTTGCTGTTAGGAAACCTGTGTCCTGAAAGTGGGTTGAGCCAACCCGTGGGGTGGCAGAGATAATATTCTGCAGGTAAACCAGAAACAGGGCTCTGTGCATCTGGTTGAGTCACTGGCATGCAATGCCACCAGCAGGGAGAGGGAAGGGGGCCCAGACTGCTAAGTGTCAATGACTGGGAACAGGGGCACCTGGAGCTCTGCCTGGGAAGGGCCCACAAGGTGAATGGGAAGCTCGGTCAAGCTTGGCACCCCCATTTCCCCTCCAGCCCACACTTACGAGACATGACCTCAGGGATGCCCACAGTGTCGATCATTGACTGCAGGAAGGTCTGGATGGACTCGGAGTTGCTCTGCTGATCAGAAGCCCATGGTGAGTGCTCCCTGGAGCACGGAAGTGACCCCCAGGGCAGATGCCACACAGCCTGGGCAAAGCATTCATGCCCATCTGTGAAAAAATACATCCAACCCACTCCCTCCTCTTGCCCCAGATGGTGCCTCTCCTGAGTGGTCCCTCCTTTGCCCTGGGGAGGGCCAGGATCGCTAGCCCATTCCACAGAGGGAAAACTGAGATCCAGGGAGGGGCTGCTTGGCCAGTACTCTTCTGCCCTAAGCCCAGTCCATACCAACACGCTCTCATTTTCGCAACACAAGGGCTCTCCCAACAGACATGGCAGGGAGAAGAAAGGTCACAAGAGACACAGAATGGACCACTTGGTCCAGGTGATTTTGATCTGGTTGCCTGCTTTCCTTAAGGCAGGAGGTCCTATAGGACTTCTTTCTCCCGGTCTATCCAAGGCCACCTACCTCAGTCAAATTGGAAACAGTCTTTGGTGTAATCCTGAAATAAAAAAAGAGATGAGAATTTGACCCTCTGTCAGGCCCTCTCCTGTACTATCCACCGGAAAAGAAACTCTAGGAATGATAGCCAGTGCTTCTGTCTCGTTGCTCAGGTCTTTCTAGGGACTCCTGAGATTTGCTGTTCCAGCTGCCAGGCCCTGGCTCAGGCAGTGCTCTCCACCGGCTGGGCCCTCCCTCCATTCTTCCTCATGCCCCTGCCTTCTTCCGGACTAAGACTCTCTCTGGGTGAGGGTCTTATCTCCCTGCAGTCAGGCCACATGCCCCAGAGGGAAGGAGCCCTATTTCCCCACCAACACCCGTCCTGCGCCTGACTCCAAGGGGCCAGGGAGAGGTTTGCAGAGTCGACCATCCCCTCTTCTCTGTAGCACATACTGGAAATCCAAGAGGCTTAAGAAGAGCTTTTTCTTGGAATAGGAGGCCTGGATGGTAGTAATGATATCCTGGGGAGAGAAACCAAATTTGCTATGAGCCGGGGCTTTCCCTGAAGCAGAGAGCAACCCTCCTAGCCCAGGGCGCCTGATTCTTTCCACGAGGGACCATGGGAACCAGGCTTAGCTATTGCTCTTCTGAGGAGAGTTCCCTAGCACCTGTGGCTTCAGAGTTAGGACCTGAGAAGTCACGTGGGCACTTTCTGTTTTCCTCTCTTTTCTTCTTTTTTTTTTTTTTGAGATGGAGTCTCACTCTGCTGACCAGGCTGGAGTGCAGTAGCACAATCTCAGCTCACTGCAACCTCCACCTCCCAGGTTCAGGTGATTCTCCTGCCTCAGCTTCCCAAGTAGTTAGGATTACAGGCCTGTGCCACCACGCCTGGCTAATTTTTGTATTTTTAGTAGAAACGAGGTTTCACCACGTTGGCCAGGATGGTCTTGATCTCTTGACCTCATGATCCACTTACCTCGGCCTCCCAAAGTGCTGGGATTACAGGTGTGAGCCACTGCATCCAGCCCTCCAGGCCTATTTTAAGTTTTTTTTTTTTTTTTTTTTTTTTGAGACGGAGTTTCGCTCTTGTTACCCAGGCTGGAGTGCAATGGCGCGATCTCGGCTCACCGCAACCTCCGCCTCCTGGTCTCAGGCAATTCTCCTGCCTCAGCCTCCTGAGTAGCTGGGATTACAGGCACGCGCCACCATGCCCAGCTAATTTTTTGTACTTTTAGTAGAGACGGGGTTTCACCTTGTTGACCAGGATGGTCTCGATCTCTTGACCTCGTGATCCACCCGCCTCGGTCTCCCAAAGTGCTGGAATTACAGGCTTGAGCCACCGCGCCCGGCTATTTTAAGTTTTTTGAGAAACCTAAAAAAGGTCTCGAACTGCTGACCTCAAGTGATCCACCCGCTTTAGCCTCCCAAAGTGTTGGGATTATAGGCCTGCGCCACCGCGCCTGGCCCATGCCACTTTCTCTCCTGGTTTCTGACTTATCCACATCCCCAGTGGTTTCTTCCTGTTTGGTCAGAAACAAGCATGGACCTGGGCTTTCCTGCATAGCACTCCCTCCACCTCCCAAGTAAAACCATCATCAAAGCAAGGTGGTGGAGGAAGTGTGGTCCCTTAACCAGCAGCATTCGCACCACGCAGAAGGGAATGTGTGGTAAAGGCAGATTCTCAGGCCCCACCCCAGACCCACCAAACCAGAAACCCCGGGGGGTGGCTCCAGAAGTCTGTGCAGTAACCCCACTCCAGGTGATTCTGATGCCTGTCAAAGTTCGAGGCCCATGACACTAGATCACTTTCAAATAGATGCTGGATTTTGAGTTATAAGTTGTATAAGCACCTCTGCTGACCACCCATTTTTACTTGATAGCACTGGGCACAATTAGTGGTTATATAGCCTTTTGTTTGTCTATTTTTTCTTTCTTCCCATTAGACCGTAAGCTTCATGAGATCAGAAACCATATGGTCCTGGCCCACAGTAAAACCTCAACAGTTATTGTTGAAAATGAATGAATGAATGTATGAATGAATGTGCTGGGGGTGCAGAACTATTGGCTCTGGTCTGAATGTGATATGTGGCCTTGAACAAGTGTCCCGTTGGTTCTTCCCTCTCTGCAGCAAAGGGGTGGGCGTGGCTGAGGCTTGAAGGCTGTTCCTGCTTTCTGTCCCTTTAGCCAGGGCTCAGTTGATGCCTCCCGAATCCCACAGTCCTGCACCAGCACCAAGCTTGTCATCTCCTCCCTCCCCTAATCCCAAAGCCTCTGTGGCTTTTACTTCCTCCTTCTGGTCTTTAAGCCTCCATGAGATGGTCTCAATGTACCTTCCGGCCTTCACCTCAAACAACCCTTGTCCCTGACCACACTGTGATTCCCCTCCCCAGGCCTGGGCCAGGGCACCTTCCCATGGCTCTCTCCCTTCTGGGAGCACTCCCTTCAGCTCCAACACACACACACACACACACACACACACACACACACACACACACACGCCCTGGTTAACATAGATTTCTAAAAATCCTTTCTGTACACAGCCAAACTCAAAAGCAACAGGGGAGGTCTTCAGGAGGCAGGAACAAGGGCAGACTCCTAGGAAAGTCGGGGGAGAGGGAATGCAGTGCTTTGGAATGAAACAGGACATTCCAGGAATGGGGGGATCAGTGCGGGGAAATGCGGGGCTAAGAGGTGTTTGTTACAGTGGTAAAGATTCTAACTTTAGTCGGGCCCCTGAACCTCTTCCCAGGACCATCTGTGCACTTCTCATAAAATCCAATTTTAGCAAAAGAACCCCCTATTCTCCATATGTGATCACCCTTGAAATCTGATCAGATTCCTCCACCTCCACCTCCCCCAAGATGTTGTCTGATGACCCTGTCTTCAGCTACAATCCTGGTAGGTTGGTTTTAGGCAGAATCCCCTTTAGCTCTGATGTTTTCTCTTGGTAATTTTCCATCTCTGACCTCATCCCTGCTCCTTGGCTATAGATTCTCCCCTGCCCACGTTTGAAGTTGAGGACAAGTTCTCTCCCTACTCTAAGACCCTAATGCAGTGGTTCCTATACTGTCACGAGGGTCCCAAACAGTCTTTTTTTTTACCATGCTTTAACAGTGTCATTGAATCACGTTTTCTTTAACAAATGCTCAACGTTTCAGATTCTTACCAAAAAAATAAGTAAATAAACATCCGCATGAGAAAGCCTAAAGGAATAAAACAGAATAACAAAAAGGAAAATAATATGAAAATTAAAGAGATATTTGAAAGGCTAAATAAACTGGGCACAGTGGCTCATGTCTGTAATTCCAACACTTTGGGAGGCCAAGGTGGGCAGATAACCTGAGCCCAGGGATTCGAGACCAGCCTGGACAACATGGCAACACCCTATCTCTAGGTGGTGGTGCCCATCTCTAGTTGGAAAGCTGAGGTGGAGGATCACCTTAGCTAGGGAGATCAAGGCTACTGTGAGCAGTGATTGCACCACTGCACCACAGCCTGGGTGGAAACAAACAAACAAACAAACAAAGAACAGCTGAATATTATCTTCTATCCTGGATCAGATCTTGGAAAAGAAAAAGATATCAGTGGAAAAACTGGGGAGAGTCAAATAAAGTTTAGAGTTTGGTAAATAGTCGTGCAACAATATTACTCTGTCTGATATGACAGCGGTAGCGTGGTTATGTAAGATGTCAACAAAGTGGGAAGCAGCTGGAGGGATACGGGAACTCTCTGCACTTTGCAACTTTTATTCAAATCTAAAGTTACTCCAAGATAAAAAGTTTATTTAAAAAGAATAAAGCACCACAAGGAAATGCACCCAGTAACCACATTGAAGGCCTCTGGACAAGGGGGTTATAGTGACAGTGGGTTTCTTCTACTTTTCTATATTTTCCACAGTATGCTTTCATTGCTCTTGTCTTTGGTTCTTAATGTATTAAGAAATATTGGCCAGGCACAGTGGCTCACGCCCGTAATCCCAGCACTTTGGGAGGCTGAGGCAGGTAGATCACTGGAGGTCAGGAGTTCGAGACCAACCTGGCCAACATGGTGAAACCCCATCTCTACTAAAAATTAGCTGGGTGTGATGTCATGTGCCTGTAGTCCCATCTAGCTACTTGGCAGGCTGAGGCACAAGAATCGCTTGAACCTGGGAGGTGGAGCCGAGATCACACCATTGTATTACAGCCTGGGTAACAGAGTGAGACTCTGTCTCAAAAGAAAAAAAAAAAAAAAAAGATACTCTAAGTAGCATTAAAGATAATACTGCTCTTTAATTCCTTATTTGCAATTATAAAATTAAACAGGATCTAAAAACTGCAACTTTTTTCTTAAGTTTGAGTTTGTTGGCAAAAACCTGGCCATTGTCTAGGAAGCAATCTACGGTATTTGTCTTCCTTCATATGAGGAGAAATACCAGTGTGTCTGATCGTGGGGTGCCAGCCAGACCCTACTGGGTGTTCTGCAATATATCCAGTGTCTGTACACTACACAACTTTCACAAATTCACAAAAATTCAGAATTTGGAAACTGATGTGGCCCTAATGGATGGAGGGCTGTGGAGCTGGGTAGCAAACAACATTGTCTACCACTGAGCTTAAAAGGAAAATACTAGCTGGTGTGGAGGCTTATGCCTGTAATCCTAGAACTTTGGGAGGCTGAGGTGGGCAGATCATTTGAAGCTATGAGTTTGAGACCAGCCTGGCTCACATAGCAAAACCCTGTCTCTACTAAAAATACAAAAATTTAGCTAGGCATGGTAGTGCATGCCTGTAATCCCAGCTACTTGGGAGGCTGAGGCACAAGAATCCCTGGAACCTGGGAGGCAGAGGTTGCAGTGAGCCGAGATTGTGCCACTGCACTCCAGCCTGGGCAACAGAGCAAGACTCTGTCTCAAATAAATAAATAAATAACAAATAAATAAAAATAAGAATGAAAGAAAACATGCCTGGCATGCTGACTCACTCCTGTAACCCCAGCAACTCAGGAGGCTGAAGCAGGAGAATTGCTTGAGGCCAGGAGTTTGAGAACAGCCTGGACAACATAGCAAGACCCTGTCTCTAAGGAATTTTTTTTTTAATTAGCCGGGTGTGGCTGCGTGTGCCTGTGGTCCCAGCTACTCAGGAGGCTGAGGTGGGAGGATCGCTTGAGCCCAGGATTTGAGGCTGCAGTGAGCTGTGATTGTGAGACTGCACTCCAGCCTGGGTGACAGAGTGAGACCCTGTCTCCAAAAAAATGAAAATAAGAAAAGAGAAAATATCACCTAAACTGTGGAAATCATGTGTGTACCCCTCGTTACATGCGTGGTGTAATTTTGATTATAAGGAGCCCTGTGTGAGAGACAACCAGTGCCGGCAGAGATGGTGAGAAGGATCTGGGGATTTCAGAGCGCCGCGCCCCGCCCCCGCCCCGCCCTCGGCCCCTACGATCCAGCTGTGAGTCAGGTTCCCCTCCCCCTGCACCCGCCTCACCTCTTCAAACGTGTAAGCTACAAAATGTTGCTGGTCTGGGTGTGGAAAGAGGAATTCCACCATCACTGAAGAACTGACCACGACGCCCTTGTTTTGGCAGGAGATCTTGGGCACCTTGAGGCAGTGGACGGTGACTTGGGCCTGGCTGGGGAGGCTGCCGACAAGCTGTGGAAGACAGGGTTCCCGTGTCCCGGACAGGGGCCCATCGTCCCTGCCCGCAGAGATGGGAAGGACAAAGCTAGCTCGGGGGTCCAGGTCTGGGGAAAAGGAAGCAGCCTGGGGTAGTGCCCAGGCCCCACACGGTGCAAATTAGGACTCTCATCTCTGGGCCTCCGTTTCTCATCTGTGTGCGAGTGAAGCTAGAACGCCTCTTTCAGGATGTGCTGAGAATGCCTTTACTTAACCTTCTGGGCCTCACTTTCCTCATCTGTAAAATGGGGATAATCATAGTTCCTACCTCATGGGATTGTCCTGAGGAGGAAATGAGCTAACCTGTGGAAAGAGCTTCAGACAGGACGCGCTGCACGGTGACCCTCCGAGGGAAGCGGCTGTAGCTTTGATTTAATAATATCGATGAGTACTGACTGTGCTTCAGCCCTGGGCTAGGGATACGGATAGAGGGGAGAGCCCGGGAGCTGCGGACTATACCGGCAGGAGCTCAGATTTAACCAGGACATCCCAGAATGAAACGTACAACTGCGGCTGAGGAGTATTTAAAGGAGAGACACGCCAGGCTGTGGCACGAGGCGATCTGACCTAGTCATCAGGGAGGTGGGAGAGGCCTTTTCTGAGTGGAGGAGGAGCAGATGGGATGGGGGAGGGCAGACCATGCTGGCAGAGGGGACAGTGTAGATGACAGCCCGTGGAAGGAGCATGGCCAACATAAGGAATGGGCAGACAGCCAGAGGGGCTGAGGCGTGTGGTCTGAGGACCTCCAATTACAACCTGTGGGACTGGGCTCAAGGAGACTACACACTCCAGAAAACCATCGAACCACTGGATGTACAACAAATGGTTTAATTCAATGCATAGCTCAGCTTGAAAGAAAGAAAGAGGTGGCTGGGTGCGGTGGCTCACACCTGTAGTCCCAGCACTTTGGGAGGCTGAGGCGGGCACATCAATTGAGGTCAGGAGTTCAAGACCAGCCTGGCCAACATAGTGAAATCCTGTCTCTACTAAAAATACAAAAAAAAAAAAATGAGCCAGGCACAGTGGCGCGCACCTGTGATCCCAACTACTCAGGAGGCTGAGGCATGAGAATCGCTTAAACCCAGGAGGTGGAGGTTGCAGTGAGCTGAGATTGTACCACTGCACTCCAGCCTGGGCAACAAGAATGAGACTCTGTCTCAAAAATAAATAAATAAATAAAATGAAAATCTCAGTGGGTAAGTAAACAGATTAAGACACAGCTGTAAAAAGAGCTAATGAACTTAAAAAGATACTTGAAGAAACTATCTAGAACTTAGCATCCAGATGAAAGAGATGGAAAGCATGAAAAGAGATGGAAAATGGAATGAGATGTGTGTCTTGTGGAAATTCAAGGAGGTAGGAATGGAAAAAATAGTGATGGAGCAATCACGGAAGAGAGAGTGACGAAGAAATTTCCAGAGCTGATGGGCCAGGCACTGTGACCCACACCTGTAATTTCAACACTGAGGCAGGAGAATGGCTTGAACCCAGAAGGCAGAGATTGCAGTGAGCTGAGATCGCACCCCTGCACTCCAGCCTGGGCCACAGAGCAAGACTCTGTCTCAAAAAAAAAAAAAAAAAGAAAGAAATTTCCAGAGCTGGTGAAAGACATCATCAACTCTTAAACTGAACAATTACACTGGGTTCAAAACAATTAGATTGAAAGGCAGACAGGATGAGAAAGTGCCGGACCCTGGAGGCCAGGGCAGAGCATTTAGCCGGTATCCTACACCAGCTTTAAGCAGGCAGGTGAATGAGCAGTTTGGTTTCTTGAGAAGATTGTTCTGGCTGCTATGGGAAACAGATTGTAGGAGGGTATCAGGACACAGGGAGACCCACTGGGAGCTGCAGGTGGGTCCCTACTAGAGATAATGGTAGCCTGGCCTGAGGAGGAGGTGGAGACAGAGAAGTAGAAAGACTGGAAATAGGACATCACAGGAACAGGACTCAGTCAAGGGGCTGAGGGAGAAGACCCAGTCAGGGGCTGCTCAATATTGTCAGTTGCAAACATGCAGAGAGAGAGACATTGAAAAGCTGGGGAAAGAGCCTGGGTGGTCTGAGTTCATAAGGGAAGAGGGACCGTCCTCTGTTAGAACAGGAGAGGGTTGCAGGAAGACGCAGGTGTGGGTGAGTGGGTGGAATTGGGAGCAGACACGTGGGGAGAAGTTCTGTGGGTGACTCTGCTCAGCTCTCTGGGAAGAGGCCGTGTGTGGAGAGGGAAGTGGAAGGTACACAGGAGGGGCAGCTGGAGATTTGAGGATGGCAGGAAGGCCTGAAGAAGCCATTGCAGTGGGTGGGGGAGTGAGGTGACCAGAAAGCTGAGGGAGGCTTACTCAGAAAGCACGAGGTCCATTTGAGGAAGGAGATCATGGGTTCTTAGTGGAACCCTGCAATGAGGAGTGGGATTTTGAACATCATTGCCACTGGGCATAGCAAGAAGAGGCCGTGACCCCCAAGGAGCTTGCCTGAAGTTGGCTTTGGGATCAGGAGTAATCAATAGTCACTTATTGCTGGGGCCCTCTGAACCTGGAGTTAATCCTGGGGTTCCAGCCCCCTATGAGGCCCTATGCCTGGGTGATAGAGCAGGGAATGGAGCATTATCTTTGGGGGGGCAACAGAGCTGGGCTCAAACCCAGTCTTGACATTCACTGTTGCCCTGTGTGTAAAACAGGGGTGGTTTGAGTGCCCCACTCCTAGCGTAGGTGTGAGCACTGAAGGAAGTCCCACACACCAAGAGCTTCGCTCCATGCCGGACACCCTAGAAGGAGCTGGGTTTGCTGCTAGAATTGTTGCCATTGCTGCTGTTATTGGCTGTATGGGAGGTCTTGAAGCCAGAGCAAGACTGGGGTATGTGAGATAAACCCCACACAGGGGTAGGGACAGTTACCTCCTGGAAGACCTCCTGGTTCGTGTTGAAGCCCCGGGTCTCCAGCACTGCCTGCAAAGAGATGGGGAAGTCGGGGGTTGGGGGGTGTAAAGGCCACTCCTCAGAGGGAAACTCTGCAGGGACCGAGTACAGTTTCAAGGACTGAAGCCCTCCTCAGATCCAGCTCCCAACCTTCCAGACAACATGTGAGATGCTCCGGGCAGGCTGTGGGGCAGGGAACCCCCATCCAGCTGGAGGCCTGGCTTCTGCTCCCTGCTCTGCCTCACACGGGCTGCGTGACCTTGCGCACGTCACTTCCCCTCTGGCGGCCTCAGTTTCCTCATGAGTTCAGTGACAGGCATGGCCTGGAAACCACCTAAGCACTTCTGGTGCAGTATAGGTGAAGAGTCCCAGCTTCGGAGCACCTCTTACAAGCTGTGTGATCTTCAGTAAGTCACCTACCTTCTCTGAGCTTTGCTGTTTTTTGTTTGCAAAACCAAGGTAACAATAGTACTCATCTCACAGGGTGAGTGCAGCAAATGTAACTGTGCAATAAATGTAAGACTAATATCATCTTTTTTTCTTTTTTGAGACAAAGTTTCACTCCTGCTGCCCAGGCTGGAGTGCAGTGGTGTGATCTCAGTTCATTGCAACCTCTGCCTCCCGGGTTCAAGCAATTCTCCTGCCTCAGCCTCATGAGTAGCTGTGATTACAGGCATGTGTCACCATGCCTGGCTAATTTTGTATTTTTAGTAGAGACAGGGTTTCTCCATGGTGGTCAGGCTGGTCTCAAACTCCTGACCTCAGGTGATCCGCCTGCCTCAGCCTCCCAAAGTGCTGGGATTACAGTCATAAGCCACTGCGCCTGGCCAATATCATCTTATATTTAGCATGGTTACTACATGCCAAGCTGTATCTCTACCTAAATCCATCTATTGATTGTTCTATCTGTCCATCTAGCTATCTGGTAACACACAGTCGACCCCCAAAAATGCTGGACTTTACTATTTTTTTTGAGATGGAGTCCTACTCTGTCACCCATTCTGGTGTGCAGTGGTGCCATCAAAGCTCACTGCAGCCTCAACCTCCTGGGCTCAAGTGATCCTCCCACCTCAGCCTCCTGAGTAGCTGGGACTACAGGTACGCACTGCCATGCCCAGCTAATTTTTAAACTTATTTTTATTTTTGTAGAGACAGGGGTCTCCTATGTTGCCCCGGCTGATCTCGAACTCCTGGCCTCCAGGGACCCTCCTGTGTCAGCCTCCCAAAGGGTTGGAATTACAGGCGTGAACCACTGCCCCCAGCCTGGACTTGACTGTTACTGCTCCAGCTTAGATGGTCCCTAGCTCTTTCGCCCACCACCAAGTTTCTGGGTTTCCTCCCTCCTCTGCACGCATGTGCACACACACACATACCACATGCCATCTGGATTCCCTAGCAGCCCAGCCTCACCCACTCACCTTGAACTCCTCTCCCATCAGGCTGAGCGTGAGGCGGCCACTCTGGAAAGCTACCTTGGCCAGGGAGTGGAAGACTTGCTCAGAGAACCAGAAGTACAGCATGCGGGAGTCCCCCAGCAGTGTGGGCGAGAAGGTGGGGAGCGGGAGTTCCTCCGAGACATTCTTGTAGATGAAACGACCCTGGAGGAAGCCGGGATACTGGCTGGACTCCGTGTCGCCCTGCTGGGCTCAGGTCCAGCTTCAGGGAGATTGGGAGGAACCTTGGAAAGCATTCAGCCCAGAGTGCAGATGGGGAAACTGAGGAAAGAGCTGCACCAGTTTCCCCGGTGGGGCTTTCACTTATTCAACAAATATTTCCCGAGTGCTGACTGTGTCTCAACCACTGTGGGAAGTGAACCAGACAGATGTGGTTCCCACCTTCACAGGGGACATTCCTGCCTTCGAGTAACGACATTGGTCAGGACAGCTGGTGACCATGGACCTCCAGCTGCCACCCCTACCCCCAGCCGACCACTGGCCCTGCCCCTGCAGAGGGCATTCCATTGACCACCTGGAGGCCAAAATTGGGAAAACAAGCCGCTGTCCAGTCCCCTGAGCCTCTAAGTCATCCAGCCCACAGGTCGTGAACAGGCTTTAGTAATGTCCATGAACCTCCAAAATGATCCTTCTGTTCAGTTTTCTGGGGAGAGGTTCTGTGACAAAGATGGCTGGTTTGCTGTAAAATCTTCTCCTATCTCTCTGTACCAGTTGATTTTTAGCTAGTCTCAATATCTAGCTGGAATAAATTCCTCCGTTTCCCTTGCAGCTAGGGTGGGATCCTGTGATCAAGTTCAGGCCAATGGGATGTGAGCAGAGCAGTGTGGTGGTCATGCCAGCCGGCCAGGACCCTGCGATGAGGCCACACCTGAGGCTGGCTGAGAACCCAGTGGAAGGGGCCTGCGTGCCTGACGCCCTGGAGCTTCCAGATGCCCCCCGGCTGCAGATGCTCAGGCCGTGACACGAGGGAAACGAATGTCTATCATGTTTAAGCAGCTATGATTTTGGATTTCTTTGTTACAGCAGTAATAGAGGGTCCAAAGCTTTTGCCAATACCCCCAGGGGTGGGGCACAATCCACCTGTAGAGGATGACAAAAGCCAAACAAGCCCTCCAGAAGGAGCTGGTGCTTTGCCGGGATCCTTGCAGTGGGGAGCCCTGGTGCCTACAGAGGAGGCTCGGAGGCACGTCACTGTGGCCTGCCCTCCCGGCTGCATCAGGAATGGGGAGGAGTGGCCCTGGACGCTTGGCTGCTGGGTTGAAGCTGGGGGACTGGGCTGTCAGAGCACAGGCAAGGACCTACTCCCCTGGGGAAGCTGGGCCCTGCCCCCACCCTCACACCCTCCTACCTTGTGATGGGACTCCAGGTAGGAGGCTGTGATGACGGGATCAGCTGTCAGGGAAATGTCCACCCCGATGTCCCCATCTGAAAGGATGCTGGCTGCAGGAGGAAAAGATCAAGGTGTGGCCTCAGGACGGGGGAACTGCCTGGAGTCACCGCTGTCTTGCCCCCACACAGGTGCCCAAGCGTCAGCCTCAGTGTTCCGCTCTGTAAAGTGGGGCCCGGGTGTGTGGGGAGGAGTGCTGCACTTTTTCATTCTCTTTTCTCAAGTCTGTCTGGGTAGGTAAAGCCCTTCTAGAGGGCTTGTTCAGAGCATGGGACTTGTTCAAGACGGGCTGAAACCCAGCTCCGCTCTGCACTGCAGGGGAACAGGGCAGGGCCCTGCCCTCGCCCAGCATCCGAGTCCTCATCTCCGATGAGCAGGCTGTGTAAACACACACGAGGGCCCGGCCATGTGAGCGATCTGATTATATTTTTTCCTAATCTACTTCCAGGAGAATCTTGGAGTCCTCCTGGACTTAATCACCCGTCTGTCCTGAGTTCTATAGTCTAGAACAGGGAGCAGCAGATTTTTTCTATAAAGAACCAGATAGTGAATAGTTCAGGCTTTGCGGGGTACGTGGTCTCTGTTGCAACTAGTCTGCTCTACCGCTGTAATGCAAAAGCAGCCGTCGCCAACACGCACGCCAGCGGGCACGGCTCCGTTCCAGTATGATTGCATTCTTGAAAGCAGGCAGCCAAATGCGTTTGGCTTACTGGCTGTAGTTTCCAACCCCTGGTGCGGAACCGCCGTGAGAGACGCGGCGCACAGATGGGAGTCCGGGTTACCCCACCTGCCTCCTCCCTCAAACCACGTCCCCATGAAACAGCCCTTCCGACCTCCCAGCGCCCTCTGAATTCTGTGGCTGCCTGGGCCAGTCCAGAAACTGCTTCCTCACTCTTCCTTCCTGTTAGTGTTGCCCACCAGCATTCCTATTAATGGCACAGCTACTGGCATGGGGATTCCAAAGAGACAGACGTTCCAGCTATATGAGAGTAGAGGGAAGGGGAGGGACAGATTGGCCACTCAGGAAGACAGAACGGTGCTCAGCCCTTCGTGCCTTGGCCGGAGCCTCGGATGCCTGCCACGGGCCTGTGCCTGTAACCTCCCCTCCTGACACCCCACAGTGGCCCAGAGGACCTCCTCACCTGGGGTTCCACCGTTCCCTTGCTGCCTCTGTTTACTGAGCACCTACTGTGTGCCAGGGTATAAGGAGCAGGTGGTCTCCTCAGCCCAGCCACCTCCCTGTCCACAGGTAAGGAGTACAGCGGGAGGCCTTACACGCAGCACAGTAGCTGGGAGCAGGGGGATGGGGAGGGGAGCAGGGGGCTTTTGGAGTTTTCGAAGGGCCAAGGTTCAAATTCTGCTTCCACTTCCTAGTGAGGGGATAGGGTCCTCTCATCTCCGTAATTTCTATTTCCTCCTCAGTGGAATGGGGGCCAGCAGTACGTTCCTCACGGGTGATTGTGAGGATTCCATAGCTAACATAAGTGTTTGGTATAAAGTAGTCCTGGGCATCCATGGGCATCTACTGTGTGCAGGGCACCATTTAGGGCAGGCGTCCCCAAACTACGGCCCGCGGGCCGCATGCAGCCCCCGGAGGCCATTTATCTGGCCCCCTGCCGCACTTCAGGAAGGGGCACCTCTTTCATTGGTGGTCAGTGAGAGGAGCACAGTATGTGGTGGCCCTCCAACGGTCTGAGGGACAGTGAACTGGCACCCTGTGTAAAAAGTTTGGGGACACCTGATTTAGGGCATCATTCAGTAACCAATGGCTATTACTTTTTTTTTTTTTTTTTTTTGAGATGGAGTTTCACTCTTGTTGCCCAGGCTGGAGTGCAATGGTGTGATCTTGGCTCACTGCAACTTCTACCTCCCAGGTTCAAGCAATTCTCCTGCCTCAGCCTCCCAAGTAGCTGGGATTACAGGCATGCGCCACCATACCTGGCTAATTTTGTATTTTTAGTAGAGATGAGATTTCTCCATGTTGGTCAGGCTGGTCTTGAACTCCCGACCTCAGGTGATCCACCTGCCTCGGCATCCCAAAGTGCTGGGATTACAGGCATGAGCCACCGCGCCTGGCCTTATTATTATTATTATGATTGGCACAGAACAGTGCTTCCCACTCCTCGCCACCCTCTTGTCTTGTCTGAGGTTCCTCCCAATGACCAGGGACGTCCCCACTGGACGGATGATGAAACTGAGTCCTGAGTAGTTTCTCCTACACTGCACAGCCTTGCGGGAGGTCCCCCTTAACCTGAGGCCTGATGGGAAGGGAGGGAAGGGACCCAGAAGGGCAGGGAGTTCCCGATCCCCACACAGCTTTCTTCATCGTTATCTCTCATCGATGTCTTCTGCTATTTGAAATGTTGGTGACTGTGCATGGCGCAGGGTATCAGGTGGTGATAATAACAGTCATAATAATAAGGGTTCAGGATAAGCCAGGTACGAGGTACAAGGCAGCGTCTTACTCATTTTACATACATTTTTTCCCTACTCAATTTTTACAACCACCTTGTGGGGTAGATGCTGTTATCACCCCCATTTTATCCATGAAGAAACTGAGAGTCAGAGAGATTAAGTGATTTGCCCAACGTCACACAGCTTGTGAGGCTGCAGCCCTAAGGGGCAGAGACTTGCCAAAGCCTGCCCGGAATGAATCATCAAGTGTCAGAGCCAGACAGAGCCCATGGGAACTAGACAGGAGGAGTGACGGTCCCAAGGCCATGCAGTGCAGCAGGTGGCTTTTTGGCTCCCACTGCTGTCTTCTGAGCCATGAAGACAGAAACCCACTCACCAGCCCTTGTCTGGACAAAATCGGCCATGATGTTGGAGATGACGTTGATCTCTTTGCAGACCTGGGGCAGACAGAGCAGGTGCTTTCCAGGCAGGAAAGGATGCCAGCGGAGGGGCAGGGCAGCGCCTCCTTCCAGCTGCGTGCTGGTGGCAATGCTGGGAACTAGCACAGGGGACTTCCACATTGGGAAGATGGGAGTGGCTCCTTCTCGGGGAAGGGCAGGGAGGAAAGGGTTCCAGCCTCCCAGGCATGGCCCTGGGCCACAGGGAGTTAGCCAGCCTCACTCACCTGTCCCTTCAGGATCAGCTTCAGGGTGTAGGAGATGAAGTTTGTGAATAGCTGCTTGATCCATCCAGGCCTGAGGGCAGCAAACACCACAGTGAGCCCCTGACCAGACCTGTGCATCCTGGAGCACCTACTGTGTACCAGGCACTGTTCAGGGCTCTGCTGGTCCTGACTCATGTAGCTCAGGAGGTAGGAATTATCGCCCCCAGTTTGCAGCTGAGAACATTGAACCTCAGACCCAAGGATTAACCACGGCACCCTTCCGGAATCCCTCAGGAAGGACCAGCTCCTGCATACTCACACCTGTCACGCACACGAGAACGTGCCTAGAGTCCAGTTCACACACGTTTCCGTCTTCGCCAGAGGCAGAAAATCGCCTGAATAGAGGGCTCCTCTCCAGACCTACCCACCCGTTCACTTCTGCCTTCGAGGTTTGGCATTGGTTATACGACCAGGGTCTCTCTCTTTATTTTATTTATTCTTATTTATTTATGTATTTTGCATTCAAATTCAGCAGACCAGGGTCTCTCTCAACCTCGGTATCTTCCTCTGTGCAATGGGGTTACCCACAGCTCCCTGACAGAGGGTGTTGGCCAAGACAAAAAGTGCCACCCTGGGAAGCAGTAGATTAAGTATCTAGGAACTCAGCTTCTGGGGTCGGAGAATGCTGGGTTCAAATCCTGCCCTTGTCCCTCAGTGGTGAGTTGCATGTCCTCAGCAAGTTACTGCGCTTGACATGAGTTTTAGCTGTGAATTAGTGTGGTGTTTGGGCTGCAGAATGCACTCCGTAGATATGAGCTTTTCCTTCCTAACCACTCTGTGACTCAGTTTACCCACATGTAAAAAGGGGATGATAACAAATTCTATATCCTAGGGTTGGTTTTAAGGACAAAATCAATTAATTCATGCAAAGGGCTTGGGATAGTGTTTGGCACACAGCGAGTTCTTAATAGCTGTTAGGTGGCTATTGTTTTCCAGCCTTTGAGGGTGTATTGATGGGAAGGGGTAGGAGGTGACCCCACTAAAGGTATTCTACCCCCAGTTTTGGCCACCCACAAGCATGCCCTGTGTGGGGTTGAGCCTGGAGAGGCTGTGGGCACGCTAACAGGATGGGCACGAGCAGGAATGGGGGCCACAGGGCGGTGTACTTACTCTCGCTCTCCTTGAAGATGCAGGAGGAGCTTATGGAAAGACAGGTGGCAGTTGGGGGCATTGGTCCGCACTCTACCAGAGTCGCAGGCTGCAGGGAAACCCAACACAACCTCAGGGCAGTCTCCGCTATTGGGCGGTACCCACATGCTGCCCAGGTCAGCCAAGAGCTTGGCCAGCTCTGGGCTCCCCAACTCTGCAAACTTCCCAGGCCGGGACTCCTTTGGTGGCCCCAGAACCCTCTGCCTGCACAACCTCCCCACTCTGCTGAGGCCAAGCCCTAGCGTCTGGCTCCCATTTCCCCAGAGGACGCTGGACACATACTCAGTTGTGTGTTGATCTGGAGGTCAATGGCGGAGTCGATCTCAAAATCAATGGACTGATCAATGCCCAACCTGCAAAGAGCCAAGGACCCAGGACCCTCATTCTGCCCTTCAGCCCAGAGCGGGCCAGGGCATGGTGCATCAGCTGATGGGAATGCTTACCCCCAGGCAGCGGTGTAGCCATACTTCAGGGTCCCATTGAAGACCACAGACACATTCTGAATGGAGACATCAATGGACTTGGCTTCCACGAGCTCCACCTGGCTGCTGGCAATGGACAAGTAGCTGACCTGAATGCTGGGAAGGAACAGGAGTGAGGAAGGACGTCAGAGATCATCCAGGAAGCCCAAGGAGTGACCCTCCAATTTTGCCTAGGCGAGGGTGGAAGATAGAATCATAGCCTCCAGAATGTCTGCCTCCTAATCCACAGAACCTACAAATTTGTTACCCAATGTTCAAATGATGGACACCCACTCGACTCATTTTACCCATATGCAAATATGGTTAAGTTAAGGACCTTGGGGTAGATGGGAAGATGATCCTGGATTATCTGGGTGGTCCCAGTGTTATCACAGGGTGTTGAAAAGTGGAAGAGGAGGCAGAAGAGGAGAAGTGGGGGAGAGGTGACCAGGGAAGAATGCCCAGAGAGAGTCAACCATGCTGGGCTGAAGATGGAGGGAACCGTGCTCACGGGGACATTTAGATCTAGAAATGCCTGTCTTTAAAAAAGAGAAATCTCAATTCAATATCCAACTTTCCACCTTAAGAAACTTGAAAAATGAAGGCAAACTAAGCCCAAAGCTAGCAGAAGGAAGGAAGTAATCAGGATATTAGCGGCTACAAATGAAATAAAGAATAGAAAAACACCAACAATCGGTGAAAACAATAGTTGGTGTTTCCAAAAGATCAACAAAATCAACAAAGCTTTAGCTAGACTGGCAAGAAAAAAAGACTCAAATTACCAAAACCGGAAATAAAAGTGAGGTCATTATTACCCATCTTACAGAAATAAAAGGAATTATGAGAGAATACTATGAACAATTGTATGTCAACAAATGAGATAAATTAGATGAAATGAAAAGGGTACATTCTTAGAAATGTAAATGGTATGTGAAGGAGCGTGAAAATGGATTCCAAAAAGTACGGAGACACCATCAGAGGTGAAGTTAGATCAAAAATAGATTGGCAGGCTGGCGAGGTGGCTCTCACCTGTAATCGTAGAACTTTGGGAGGCCGAGGTGGGCAGATCACCTGAGATCAGGAGTTCATGACCAGCCTGGCCAACATGGTGAGATCTTGTCTCCAAAAAATACAAAAAAATTAACCGGGCATGATGACAGGTGCCTGTAGGTGCAGCTACTAGGGAGGCTGAGACAGAAGAATTGCTTGAACCCGGGAGGCGGAGGTTGCAGTGAGCTGAGATTGCGCCATTGCACTCCAGCCTGGGCCACAGAGGAGACTCTTGACAAAACATTGCATGTCTATATCAAAACATCTCATGTACCCCATAAATATATATGCCTACTATGTACCCACAAAAATTAAAAATAAAAATCTTTAAAAATAGATTGGCAAAGACTTATAGTATAGAAAACAACTAGATTGTTCCAGATTCTTCCTTCTTTTTTTTTAGTTCTTTCTTTTCTTTTCTTTTTCTTTTTCTTTTTTTTTTGAGACATAGTCTCGCTATGTTGCCAGGCTGGAGTGCAGTGGCGCAATCTCAGCTCACTGCAATTTCTGCCTCCTGGGTTCAAGCAATTATCCTGCCTCAGCCTCCCGTGTAGCTGGGATTACAGGCATGCACCACCACGCCCAGGTAACCTTTGTGTTTTTTAGTAGAGACGGGGTTTCACCATGTTGGCCAGGATGGTCTCGATCTCTTGACCTCGTGATCCACCCGCCTTAGCCTCCCAAAGTGTTGGGATTACAGATGTGAGCCTCCACGCCTGGCCCTTTTCTTTACTTTATTCTTTTTTTTTTCCCATGGTGCCTCTCTGTGGCCCAGGCTGGTGCAGTTGTGTAATCACAGCTCACTGTGGCCTCAAACTCCAACAATCCTCCTGCCTCAGCCTCCGAAATAGCTGGGACCACAGGCACGTACCAACCACACCTGGCTAATTTTTGTATTTTTTTGTGTAGATAGGGGTCTCCCTATGTTGACCAGACTCCACATTCTTCTAAACGCTCTAATCTGGAATTAGATCATACTATAGTCTCCAATCTTCTTTCAATTCTATAGAAATTTAAACCTCCGGCTACATTTGTTTTTGTTTTTGTTTTTGTTTTGAGATGGGGTCTGGCTCTGTTGCTCAGGCTGGAGTGCAGTGGTGTGATCTCGGCTCACTGCAACCTCTGCCTCCTGGGATCAAGCGATTCTCCTGCCTTAGCCTCCCCAGTAGCTGGGACTACAGGCGCCCGCCACCGCACCTGGCTAATTTTTGTATTTTTAGTAAAATCGGGGTTTCACCATGTTGCCAGGCTGGTCCTGAACTCCTGACCTCAGGTGATTCTCCCACCTCAGCCTCCCAAAGTGGTGTGATTACAGGATTGAGCCACCATGCTAGCTTTTCTTTTCTTTTTTTCTTTCTTTTTTTTTTTTTAGACTGAGTTTTTGCTATTGTCACCCAGGCTGGAGTGCAGTGGGCAATCTCAGCTCACTGCAATCTCCGCCTGCCTCAGCCTCCTGAGTAGCTGGGATTACAGGCAAGTCTGGCTAATTTTACATTTTTAGTAGAGACAGGGTTTCACCATATTGGCCAGGCTGGTCTTGAACTCCTGACCTCAGGTGATCTACCCAACTGAGCCTCCCAAAGTCCTGGGATTACAGGCATGAGCCAACACCCTTGGACGCATACCAAATTTTTGAGTGGCATCCCTTCTGGTAATAGCTGTGTAAGCTCCTAACACATGAACCTCCTTTGACTACATTCTTTTTTTTTTTTTTTTTTTTTTTTTTGAGACGGAGTTTCGCTCTTGTTACCCAGGCTGGAGTGCAATGGCGTGATCTCGGCTCACCACAACCTCCGCCTCCTGGGTTCAGGCAGTTCTCCTGCCTCAGCCTCCTGAGTAGCTGGGATTACAGGCACGCGCCACCATGCCCAGCCAATTTTTTGTGTTTTTAGTAGAGACGGGGTTTCACCATGTTGACCAGGATGGTCTCGATCTCTTGACCTCGTGATCCACCCGCCTCAGCCTCCCAAAGTGCTGGGATTACAGGCATGAGCCACCGCTCCCGGCTTGACTAAATTCTTGACTTCTGCACATAATTAGACAGTAGAGAGTAAGTGAAAACAGTCATACTGGGCCTGGCGCGGTGGCTTATGCCTGTAATCTCAGCACTCTGGCCAGCATAGTGAAATTCCATCTCTACTAAAAATGCAAAAAAAAAAAAAAAAAAAAAAAAAAAAATAGCGGGCGTGGTAACACATGCCTGTGGTCCCAGCTGCTTGGGAGGCTGACGCAGGAGAATTGCTTGAACCTGGGAGGTAGAGATTGCAGTGAGCTGAGATCGTGCCATTGTACTCCAGCCTGGGCAACGAGAGCAAAACTTCATCTTGAAAAACAGAAAAAGCAGTCAGGCTGCAGGACCGATGTGGGTGGAGGAGGAGAACAGCACCCGGTGCGTTCCCCATTTTCACAGATTCTAGCACGAGGGTGGGCTCCAGCACGCGCTGTGAGAAAGGACAGTGGGAAAAGGTGCTTTCAAGGCCTTGAACTCTGGTAGATCATAATTTTTCCGGCCTAAAGAGCTAGATGACAGGATTTGGGACAATCACAGCTGCTGGAAAGTGGAGGGGAATACCATAAATGAGAAAGTCAGAGCAGGGAGCTCCCCTCAACGCCTGAAACAAAAGGAGATGGAGAGAGCCCAAGGCATGGGGGAGGCCTCTAGAAGCTGGAGAAGGCAAGGGAATTAATTCTCCCTTAGAGCCCCCAGAGGAATCTGCTTCTACTGACATCTTGATCTTAGCTCAGGGAGAGCCACGGTGGACTTTTAGCCTTTTTTAACTGTAAAATTATAAACTTCTGTCATTTTAAGCCACTAAACTTGGAGTGATTTTTTTTTTAACAGCAGAAAATAGGAAACTGATACAGAGGGCTTCCTGGAGGAGGTGTCATCAGGTGGAGGGTGGGAGTTTGAAAGATAGGAGGCTCCTCACTAGGAGGAGGTCTGAGCTAGGCCCGGGGCAGAGGTGGAGCTGAACAACTGCGGAGTTGTTGGGCCTGGGGTCTTGGTGTAGGCACAGCAGAGGAGATGTGTGGCCAGGGGCTTGGTCAGAGGTGGGGCTCAGCAAGGATCCTTGGGAAGCAAGGATCAGAGAGGAGAAACGGGAGGCCAGCGGACCACATTCACTCCATGCCCTCTACCCTTGCTGAACTCTCCCCTGGGGCCCGGCTTCAGCACATGGAATATGACACAATAGAAGCAGCCATCAAGTACCGGACACACACTGTGGCAGGCACTGTGCTGAGAGTTTAAACGCATGTCCTGGTTTAATCCTCACAGCTACCCAGGAGGTGGTCACTGTTGCTGTACCCACTGAACTGAGACAGAAATGGCTCAGACAGCTTACATGGCTTCAAAAAACCTCAGTAGAAGGGGATTTGATCCTTGGTCCATCCCACTCCAGATCCTATATTATAAGCCACTGTGACACACTGCCCAACGAGGAGAATCTGTGTATATCTGGCTTTCCCCGTCTGTTCTGTTATATTCTATTCTATTCCCATTAGAATAATGTGAAGAATTCTCATTTTACCATGATCCAGCTTCATCTAACGCTCATCATGGCCAATCATATTTTATTTCTACCCCACCCATATATGTTTTGGGATAATATATATATATATATATATGTATATCTGTGTGTGTGTGTGTGTGTGTGTGTGTGCAGTATTTATTTCAAATGCTTGTTAAAACAGCCTAGTTATTTCTCAGGACAAGAGCAAAGGTCACCCCCTGCAGAAGCTTAGCGACTACGTACAAAACCTTACAGAACAGAGGCCATACTTTAGCGTAAGCCTGTCTGCTGACCAGAGAATGGAATTCTGTGTGGACTCAAGGAACAAGAGAAAACTAGGCAGGAAAGGGTAAAGGAAGGTGCCCATCTGAATCAAACTTCGGCTGCCATCAGGGCACATCTCGTGGTGGTCACAGATTGCAGGCTTTTTATGGAAGGTTCAGGTTCAGCATAGGATTCCATTTGTCTACTTGGCCACACTCCTGGTGAGGATTAGGGTCAGGGTCAATGTCACTCAAGTTCCTGACCAGCCAAACTCCCACAGTAAAGAGTCCCAAATTGAGGATCGAGTTCCTCCAGAAGTCATTCCTGTCAATGGCAAAGCGATAGACTCCCCAAAGCCAGTCTCCCATGTTGTCCGGTATTTCGGGAGTTTCGTTAGCCCAGCCAGCAGTGCTCACTGGGACCCCACTGGAAGCCATAGTAAGAAGCTTCCAGCGGGCCTTGCCTCGGATAACAGTTAAGTATGAATGACTGTGACATCTAGTCTATGGCAGTCTGGTCTAACTGAATTATTGCTGATTTATTAAGGATGATATTTCTTTAACTTCTCAAGATGCTTTTGCCACATCTGACCTCTTGCAGCATAGGTCTAGGATAGCATTATCCTCGTTTATTTTTTAGCAACAGAGTCTTGCTCTGTTACCAGGCTGGAGTGCAGTGGCGCAATCATAGCTCACTGCAGGCTTGACCTCCCAGGCTCAAATGATCCTCCTACCTTGGCCTCCTGAGTAGCTGGGACTGCAGGCAAACACCACCACGCCCAGCTAATTTTTAAATTTTTTATAGAGACAGGCTGATCTTGAACCCTGGCTCAAGTAATCCTCCTGCCTCGGCCTCCCAAAGTGCTGGGATCACAGGTGGGAGCCACTGTACCTTGCCCATTATCCTCTTTTACAGAAGCGTAATCTGAAGCCCAAGGTCGCACAGAGGGTGTGGCTGGGACGCCTCCACAGCACCCCCTAGCGGCAGGAGTTTTCCTGCAAAAGGTGACGCTGCACCGCCGGCGCCCCCTGGCGGCTCAGAAACAATTACCAAGATTCCAGGCCCAATGTGCTCTGGTAGCAGAGACCACTCCTGGGGTGTTTAGCAGGGCTAGGGAGGAGGAGGAGGAGGAGGAGATTGGCTTTAAGACAAAGATAAAGTTCCTGAACAATGTCTGCCTCACGCTTGGGGTCTCAGACTGACGCACAGACAGAGACCCAGGCTCCAGGGCAGCCTGAGTTTCCAGGAAGGTGGCCAAGTTCCCGAGACTGAGCTGAGTTTGCACGTGAGCTCGGCTAGGCTGGGAAACCTCTATCAGCTCCTGTTTCCTTATTTGTTAAGCAGGGCCATCCGGAAGATGGCATTATCCTTTTTTACAGATGAGGATAAAATATATGATAAAGGTTCACGCCTGTAATCCCGCATTTTGGGAGGGTGAGGTGGGCAGAATCACTTGAGGTCAGGAGTTCAAGACTAGCCTGGCCAATATGACGAAACCCGTCTCTACTAAAATTTAGCTGGGCTTGGTGGTGGGCACCTGTAATCCTAGCTACTAGGGAGGCTGAGGCAGGAGAATGGCTTGAACCTGGGAGGTGGAGGTTGCAGTGAGCTGAGATGGCACCACTGCACTCCAGCCTGGTTGACAGAGAAAGACTCCGTCTCAATAAATAAATGAATAAATACATAAAATAAAGATTAAGATAGATAAAGGGTTGGACAAGGTGACTCACGCCTGTAATCCCAGCATTTCAGTAGATGGAAGCAGGCAGATCACTTGAGATCAGGAGTTTGAGACCAGCCTAGCGAACACGGTGAAACCCCCATCTCTACAAAACTTAGCTGGGTGTGATGGTGTGCGCCTGTAATTCCAGCTACTCTGGAGGCTGAGGCACAAGAATTGCTTGAACCCAGAGACAGAAGTTGCAATGAGCTGAGATCATGCCACTGCACTCCAGCCTAAATGACAGAGGGAGACGCTGTCTCAAAAAAATTTTAAAAAAGAAAGAAAGAAAAAGAAAAAGTATATGATAAAGGTGAAGATAAAATGAGATGCTGTTTGGAAAAGCACCTAGCCCACAACCGGCCCTCTGCTGTTACCATCATCCCAAATAATGTCAAGATACTCATTTTAGGCTGAGGCGGGGGGATTGCTTGAGGCCAAGGTTCAAGACCAACCTGGCCAACAGAGTGAGGCCCCTATCTGTATTATAAGAAAACAACATTTATAAACTTTTTTTAAAAAAAAGATAAAGGCCAGGCGCGGTGGCTCAAGCCTGTAATCCCAGCACTTTGGGAGGCCGAGGCGGGTGGATCACGAGGTCAAGAGATCGAGACCAACCTGGTCAACATGGTGAAACCCCGTCTCTACTAGAAATACAAAACATTAGCTGGGCATGGTGGCGCGTGCCTGTAATCCCAGCTACTCAGGAGGCTGAGGCAGGAGAATTGCCTGAACCCAGGAGGCGGAGGTTGCCGTGAGCCGAGATTGGGCCATTGTACTCCAGCCTGGGTAACAAGAGCGAAGCTCTGTCTCAAAAAAAAAAAAAAAAAAAAAAAAAAAAAAAAAAAAAAAAGATAATCATTTTGCTGAGATTTCTCTACCTTATCCTCCATTCAGCCCCCAATAAGACCTTCATCTTCCCAGGGCAATGGGAAAGGACCCTTCGAAGCCTGACTCATAGAGGGGCTATTAGAGAGTTTGATACACTCACTAAGTACCCCCAGGGCACCAGGGGATGGAGGGTGGGGGTAGGGGAGGTGGTCAGGCTCCGGTTCCAAGTCCAGGGGAGAGACCTGAGTCCCTCCCTCCCCCAGCCCTTCCACCCTGTGGGCTGGGGGCAAGCCTCAGGCTGTTCTTCCCGCCTCCCTACCCCCAGCCTGGTGACACCCGAGGCCCAACTCACTTGTACAACCCATACTTGACTCGGCCAAGGAGCATCATGGCCTTCTCGCCTGTGATATTTGGGTAGTTGACTCGCTGGAAGGCAGTCTGGATCACCTTGGCAGTCTCCTGGTTCACTAGAGGGGAGGGCAGTGGCTGAGGGGCTGCAGGCCCATGCCAAGCCCCCCACTCCCACCCACAACCGGTCTTGGCCATGACTCAGCCTCTCTGGGACTAGGCTCCCCAGCAGGACTTAAAGCTGAGGGGTGGACTGGGCCTCCCTCTCAGTGTAAGGTCGATGGCAATTTGTAGAGGACACAGAGAGGTTCAATCCTGACCCCAGCCAGAGATCCTGATCATACCCTAGCCTCTGGATCCTGATGCATGGGAACCCCGTGATCCTCATCAAATGGCAGCCCTGAGCCCAGCCACACACTCACCCTAGCTCACCCAGACAATGCTGTGACACTCCCTGTAGTCCTGGGGGTCTATAATCCTGGCTCTTGAACTTGGCGATGTGCTATTTTAGAATTCTGTCATTTAGCATCCCTATACCTTTATTGTATTGAGCAAGAGGCTGAGGCCCAGAGAGGGCAGGGGAGCTGGCCAAAGTCACGCAGCAGTTGGTGATGCAGCCTCCGTCACCTGAGCTCCTGGCAACTCCTGACTCTGGCCACAGAGTGACCCCCAACACCAAATATACACCAACCTCCTCATCTTCATCCCCTGACTCAACCCCCTAACCTGGCTCAGATCTGAACCTTAATTTGAACCCCAATGACTCTGGGTCTCAGACAAGCACAAATCCCTACACCTGGCTATTTGCAGCCCAGCTAGGACCTTCTCACCAAAGAACTTGACCTTGAAGTGAGGTCAGGAGAGGGTGAGGACAGCTCCGCTCAGCCCATCTTCCTCCCAGGACACTCCTTTCTCTGGGCTACTGTGGCAGCCAGCTTCAGAGCTGGCTCCAGGCCAGGGATGCTGCTGGCATAGTGGGTGTCCATGAAAAGAGCCCTGCCAGGGCAGACAGATGTATGAACAGAGAGGAGGGCACTGGTACTTACACACCAAGAGGGCGGGCTTGGTGATGCGGCACACGATGCCTGCCTCACACGAGGTGCCTTTGGAGCAGGCGTGGGCATTGCCCAGCAGGGCCAGGGTCAAGACGGTGGCAGCCAGCATGGTTATCGGGCATCCGTGTGTGAGTGGCCCAAGCCGTTCAGCCTGGAGCCTGTATATATACATCCACCCAACCCCCACGGAACATGAGGCTTTTCCGGGCAGCCGGGCCTTCCTGGCCCCAGAGATTCACCTCCTTCCTGCCCAGGCTCTCTGGCCTCCTCTTGAGTTCAGAGCCAGACGTTCAACAAGAGCATCCCAACCTCTGCTTGTCTCCCCTCCACCATTCCCACCACTTTTGCCATCCCTTACGTTGTCTGGATACTTGCTTAATGTGTTTCCATGAATTCATTTGTTTCATACTTAAATAAATGTATCTAAGAATAAACTTTCCCTCTCAGTTGCCATAAATAGAAAGAGGCCAAAACACAATGACCATGAAAAAAAGACGAATTCTTGCCAGATACGGTTGCCCGACAATGACCCCAAGCTTGAAGCCTGCTGCAAGTAAAGTAAAACTCAGGATAAAAAGGGAGCAGGTTTCGTGGGTGTTGGAGAGACTCTAGCACTCACCTTTCCCTTGCTCTGATTTGAAAGTTTGAAAGGATAAGGTCCTCCCTGTAGTATGCTATGGTATTTGACACTGCATCTGGGTACCCCAGAAAGAGTCTTCTATATAGCCTTTCTTTGATATGCATAAAATAACTCCGGGGGGGGGGGTACACAGCCTCTGAGATCATTGGCTGCCTCTGGGAGGAACTGGGTACCTGGGGAAAGGGGCAGGGGACATCTATGACTTTTAAAGTCTAAGTCATGTGAATGTGTTATCTTCCAAAAAATTACAACATACTGTACTTTACCTACAGCTGGGGCCAAGCACTCCCCTGCAGCAACTGTGACCAATTGGCCAACCGCTGCCTCCTCAGAGCCCCTGGGAAGGAGCCAGGGCTGCAGGGATGTGGGCAGGATGCTGCGCCCCAGGCAGGGCCAAGGAAACGTGAGTCGGGGTGGGCTTGCTCAGCTGCCTCTCAGGGGGTTCTGCCCAGTCCTGAGTCTGCACCTGCTCTAAGCCCAAAGCTACCAAGAACCGCAGATGGAGCCGGGCTGACCCTCACCATTTCCCAAGGCTCAGAGACATAAGCTGATTGCTCCTGGGCACCAATCCTTGGGTTTGTATCCACAGGCCTCTGGAGCTCCCTCACTGACTAAGCGTGTGCCATCGGCCCTGCCAGGGTAGGGGCTGGAGGTGAGCCCCTTGGCCCAGGCCTCCCCAGCGCCCCGTCCTCTGCTCGGGCTGGAGGAACTTCATTAATGGGCTCTATTTTTCCAGAAACATGGGACTTCCTGGCGGCTATTGTCTTCCTGGCTGTTGTTTCTCTTCCCTTCCTGGGGCCACGGAGGGCAATGACCGAGGGTACCCCTGGCCGGGGTACTGGCGGTCAGTGGCTGGGCCTGGGGAGGAGAGGAAGGTGGGCCCCATCCTCTAGTGCAGCCTGGGTGATGGGCCCTCCCAAGGGTGGGAGACCCTTGGGATAATGAATTTTAAAAAACAAATAAAACTAAACCAAACAACAAAAAGAGCGTATCCCTTTAAACTTAGAATCCTGCATCTTAGACCCTTAAAACTTAGTAAAAATTATACTAATATCAGCTATATTTTCAAGATAGTGCTTTGTTGCATTATCTCCTTTAATCCTTTTTATTATTTTTTAATCATTTTTTGTCGTACTAGAATTTAATTTACTACTTAATGAAAACTTACCACTTTAACCATTTTAAAGTGTACAATTCAGTGGCATTTAATACATTCACAATGTTATGCAGCCATAAATTTAATTCCAGCACATTCTCTTCACCCCAAAATAAAACCAGCCTGGGCAACAGAGTGAGACCCTGTCTCAAGTAAATAAATCAATATATAAATAAAAATAAATGGGAAACACGAGACATATCTTCCATGCAGAAGAATCCCAAATGAATTCTGTAGATTCAACTCCATTCCTGTCCCCAGCTGTAGGTAAAGTAATGCATGTTGTAATTTTTTGAAAGATAACACATTCACATGACTCAGAATTCAAAAGCCACAGATGTCCCCTGCCCCTTCCCCCAGACACCCGGTTCCTCCCAGAGGCAGTCACTCCCCATCCTGCCCTCTCCCAGCCCTTGGCAGCCACAAATGTGCTTTCTGTCTCTATGGATTTGCCCACTGTGAACATTTCATGTAAATAGAGTCATACAGTGTGTGATCTCTTTTTTTTTTTGAGACGGAGTTTCACTCTTGTTACCCAGGCTGGAGTGCAATGGCGCGATCTCGGCTCACCACAACCTCCGCCTCCTGGGTTCAGGCAATTCTCCTGCCTCAGCCTCCTGAGTAGCTGGGATTACAGGCACGCGCCACCACGCCCAGCTAATTTTTTGTATTTTTTTTTAGTAGAGACGGGGTTTCACCATGTTGACCAGGATGGTCTCGATCTCTTGACCTCGTGATCCACCCGCCTCGGCCTCCCAAAGTGCTGGGATTACAGGCTTGAGCCACAGTGCCCGGCCAAGTGTGTGATCTCTTTTGTTCCTTCCTTCCATTCCTTTCTTTCCTTTTCTTTCTTTTTTTTTCTTTCTTTCCTTCCTTCCTTCTTTCTTTCTTCTTTCTTTCTTTTCTTTTCTTTTCTCTTTTCTTTTTTTTTAGGCAGAGTCTCACTCTGTTGCCCAGGCTGGAGTACAGCGGCATGATCTCGGCTCACTGCAACCTCCACCTCCCGGGTTCCAGTGACTCTCCTGCCTCAGCCTCCCAAGTAGCTGGGATTACAGGCGTGAGCCACCACACCCAGCCTGTGTCCCTTAGAGGAGTATCTTCGAGGTTCGTCCGTGTTGCAGGCTGTGTCCGTACTCCATTCCCTTAAACGCCTTTACCCCGTTGTAGGGGCCTTTCACCCATCGGTGGGCACCTGGGTTGTCTGCTATCTTATTCCCTCTTCATGACCACTCCCTGGGATGCCTTAATTGCCCCTGCTTTATAGGTCAGTGAGGCAGAGAGGAGTTAAGCTACAGGCTTCAGGTCACACAGGGACAGAAAGCCAGGATTTGAGCTCAGGAAGTTGGGCTTGGTGCTGGTCTCAGCATCTGAGAATACTGGAGTCAGAGGACAAGGGACTTGGGGACATGGAAACTCTCTCTCTCACACAGGGGAGACGTGGCTCCTGGGGAAGAGGCTCCCTGGGGCAGGGAGGGGGCGGGATAACCTGCAACCCCTCCCACCTCTGTAATCAGAACCTGTGAAACCCTATCGTGGAGGAGAATGCAAGCCCCAGGTGAATTTTGAAGCAGATTTTACTTTTTAGAAGCATTTTAGATTTTCAGAGAAACTGAGCAAGGTTCCCATATACAACACATACTCAGTTTCTATTACTATTATTATTGAGACAGGGCGTTGCTCTGCTGCTCAGGCCTCAGTGCAGTGGCATGATCTTGGCTCATGGCAGCCTCAGCCTCCCAGCTCAAGCGATCCTCCTGTCTCAGTCTTCTGAAGAGCTGGGGCTACAGGCATGCGCCACCACACCTGGCTAATTTTTAAAATCTTTTTGTGGAGATGGAGGTCTCACTATGTTACCCAGGCTGGTCTCAAACTCCTGAGCTCAAGAGATCCTCCTGCCTCAGCCTCCCAAAGTGCTGGAATTACAGGCGTGAGCCACCACACCTGGCCTGGTTTTTCTTACATGGGGCTTACGGACTATTGGGAAAACAGTCTTGGAGATAAAGTCCCATTTTATCCCATCATATCCAGGATGCCCACTATCAACATAATTCATGACAGCTGATGTGATCTCCATCACCTGTCTGTGGTCGTATTCGCCAGGTTTCTCCACTGTGAAGTTAGCGCCCCCACCCCCGCCCCCTCCCCCGCCCCCGTCCCCGCCCCCCGCTCCCCGCTCCCCGCTCCCCGCTCCCCGTACTGTACTCTTTGGAAGGAGGTCACTAAGGCAGCCTGGAGTTATGTGTGCCCTCCTGTAGGGTAGAGAATCTACAGAATTCATTTGGGATTCTTCTGCATGGAAGATCTGTCTCTTCTTTCCCATTTATTTTTATTTATACATTGAATTATTTGTTTTGAGACAGGGTCTCACTCTGTTGCCCAGGCTGGGGTGCAGTGGCAAGATCACAGCTCACTGCAGCCTCCACCTCCCAGGCTGAAGCAATCCTCCCACCCCAGCCTCCCACATAGCTGGGACTACAGGCATGCTCCACTATGCCCAGCTAATTTTTGTATTTTTGGTAAACACAGGGTTTCATCACATTGCCTAAGCTGGTCTCAAACTCCTGGGCTCCAGCGATCTGCCTGCCTCGACCTCTCAAAGTGCTCTCCCATTTATTAATATGAATGTATTCAATCATCTATGTCAGAATAGACTCATAGACACTTATTTTATACTTTGGGTTATAATCTGATGCTACTTTATTTATTTTGTTGTTCAAGTTGCTCCATCTTTGGCCACCGAGGGCTCTTTCAGTTGGCTCCTGTGTCCCTTTGTCATACCCCCATCAAAGTGAAGTTCCCCCCTTTTTTGGGCCCCATGTAAATAAAACACGAGTTTCTCAGTACATTTCCACCTTGCTGTGACAACCCAAACTGGGACCCGGAACTGGGATAAGGCAAGTGCCTCACAAAATTTAAGGGATGCCAGAAAAACTCAGTAGTCAACATTTACAAATCAAAATTATGGGCTGGGTGCGGTGACTCATATAATCGCAGCTCTTTGGGAGGCGGAGGTGGGTGGATCATTTGAGGCCAGGAATTTGAGACCAGCCTCCAACATGGCAAAGCCCTGTCTCTACTAAAAAGACAAAAGTTAGCCAGGCGTGATGGCACACACCTGTAATTCCAGCTACTTGGGAGGCTGAGGCATGAGAATCACTTGAACCCGGGAGGCGGAGGTTGCGGTGAGCTGAGATCGTGCCACTGCACTCCAACCTGGACAACAGAGCGAGACTCTTTCTCGAAAAGAAAAATCAAAATTATGGACTTAAATGAATATTTGCATACTCATGTTCATAGCAGCATTATTCACAGTAGCCAAAAGGTGGAAGCAACCCACGCCCCATCAACAATGAGTGGATAAACAACGTGTAATATATCCACATGACGGAATATTATTCATCCTTTAAAAGGAAGGGAATTCTGACACACACTACAGT